GCTGGCTGACCTCAGCAAACAGCTCCCTTCCTTCAGTTGTGGTTTTCCGGGGCAGAGAAAAACAATGAGATTGAAAAAGAAAATTGTTATAGATGAAGTCTTGTGTTGTTTTTGTTTTTTCTTAAGATTTTATTTTTCCTTTTTCTCCCGAAAGTGTTTCCAGTGCATAGTTGTATATTTTTACTTATGGATCCTTCTAGTTGTGGCATGTGGGACGCTGCCTCAGGATGGCTTGATGAGTGGTGCCATGTCCGCGCCCAGGATCCGGACTGGCGAAACCCTGGGCCACCGGAGCGGAGTGCATGAACTTAACCACTTGGCCCGGGGCCAGCCCCATAGATGAAGTCTTTATTGTGCCTTTTTGAATCACCGGATGAGGAATGAGTGATGGAGTCCTTGCATATGTTTCTGTCTGGTGGCAGTGCACTAAGCTGACACCTTCTGAGATTTGCTGGACCTGAGTCTCCATGGAGGAAGATTTAACATCGTTGAACATGTCTGTTCTTTTACAAGCCCTAGTGCCTTGAGCCTGCAATTTACCAGGAGCGGTAGCTTTGAAATGAGTGTTCTGGATCTATTGGCAGGACTACAGGAACCTCTTTTGCTGGAAGGAACGTGGGTGATAGGTTGTTGCCACTTCTGTCAGATCAGGTGTGGGAGAGAAAACTAGTAGCCATCAAGTGAATGGCTAGGAGTACAGGAATTTTGGAGTTATGGAGGCAGATTTTATAAACAGAGGGTCACAGTTTTCTAGAGTTAGAAGAGAAAGAGGGCACATTGACCTTTCTGGAATTTGTAAAGGGCCCAGGGGACTTCCTGTTGACTAGTTAGCACAGTGCAGGATTCTAGCTGGGTTGCTTGCTCCAGTTCCTCTCTTTCTGTCTCTCTGTCCCTCTTTCTCCTTCTACTCTGCCTTTCCCTCCCCCTTTTCAAGAGAGTTGAGCCACTTATATAAAAGATGGAGCCAACTGGCTAAAAAGTCCAACAAATAGTAAGTATTTGTAGCTTTCCAAATTTCCTTCCTGTCATCATCAGTATACTTACATACTTTTTCACATAGTTGTAGTCAGTATTTGGGTCCTTTTTTTAAGAAATAAGTTTATGTAGACTTTTCCATGCGTGGATGCATCCCATCAGCTTGTTGCAGCTGTGCCAGGATTCCACTGTTTGCTGTTGTTTGAGCAGTCCTACTCTATATTGTTAAGCTGTGTGACTTTTTTCTAATGTCATAGGGCTATTCCACATTTTGGTATGGATTACTGTTAGTACTTCTTGAAGTGAATGTACTGGAGTGGAATCTTTTTGTTGTTTTTGTTACGGAGTGGGGCAGCCTGTTGTCGATAATGAGAAGGTGAAGTCTAGAAAGATTCTACATTTACGATTTGGTCTCTGATTTTCTAGGAATTCCAGTGGTTCCTGCAAAGAAAAAAGAATTCAAGTGTAGAGGTCGGCCAGACTGAGTTTAGACATGTAGCTTTTCAGAGAATGCAGTGAAATCTGTTTCTGATGTTGCAAGACAGCTTCTGAATGTTGCACTATGTGGCCAGTCCCTTGAAGAACAGTGACCAGGCCATAGGGGTAGACACAGGCTGCCTCCCCTGGCACCCAGCCTGTGTGGGTTGAATGTACCAACAGAGCCTTCCTAAGCAGCACCCCCCACCCCGCACACAGATGGTGCTTTTAGCCTGCACTAAGGACACACTATTTTTGCTGCTGGGTAGGATAAGCTGGTATCTATTTTTCCTTCAAAGCAAAATCGTTAAATCATGTTTTGAGTTTAGAAGACTCTTGAAGTAGTGGACATCAGATTACTTTTCACTGTTTTTTTTTTTTAACTGCATATTGTTGACAGTATGCATTAGACCATTGCCTACCTGCCTTCTTTCCTTTAGGTTTTTTATTCAACAAGTGTTTGTTTTCCAGGCCCTGGAGCTACAGCAGTGAAACAGACAGCTGTGGCCCTGCCCCTGGGGCCAAAGTTGGGCCTTCTGCCAGGTGGGAGGAGGGAATTGGGGCTCTCAGGCAGGACTGAGGTGAAACAGGGTGGGCAGAGTGTGCCTAAGGGGAGACTGGCACAGATAAATTGTTACTGAACAAAAGAAAATGCCAAGGTGGGCATCTGTGGAAGCAACATTCTCTTCCCCTGTGTTTTATTTAAGAGAAGCAAAAGGCCTTGTTGCTTGAGCAAGACTGCACCCTCCCAGAGCATGCAGTTATTATCCAGTGAAACAGTTAATGATCAGATTTAATCACGTACACAGTCACTATTGTGCAGCATAATTAGGTGCAAGAAGTTTACTGTTACTGCAGTTGGTAACCTAGGCAACCAGATTGCACTTGTTCTTGCTTTTGCCCACTTTTAGTTTCACCTGCAAGCAGCTTGAGGGCTGCAGTCCTCAGGTGCCTGGAGTGTGACCTTAGCACAGCCATGTGTTCTGCCACCTATCTAAAGACTCTGAGACCTTTTACTGCACCCTTCTCTCCTCTAGGTGTCCCAGAGCTCCCATCCCCGCACCCTCTCCTCTCTGCAGCCAACCTGAGTGCTGAGCAGCTCGGGACAAATCTTGGCTCTCAGGATGTCCAAGGGTGTGGAGCTCAGATGTTCTTTCTTAAAAGTCTATAAAACGAGATTAGCATGAACAAGCCGGTGTGGGGGTTATTCTGCAGCTGGCAAAGTCTGCCTTGGCCCCTGGGTAAAAGCACTCATAGCTGGGCAGCCTTACGTGCTCTCTGTGGTCTGTCCCATTTCTACTTTGTTCATATTGTTCCTTGTTCTAGATGCCCTTCCTCTCCCCCACCCTAAATGCTGTCTGTAGTTGAGGGTCCTGGGTAATTTCTCCCTTCTCCAGGAAGCCTCTCAGAATACTCTTCCTTCATGTGATGACCACCTACCTTTGCATTCTGGACTTAACGTTAATGCACGGTACAATTCATCAGCATTATCGGAGAGGAGAGTATGTTTGATTGGGAGTCAAGAGAAGATCCCCATTTTCTATATATTCTGCTATTTTCTTTTTTTCCCCCAGCTTTATCGAGATATAATTGACAAAATTGTAATATGTTTAAAGTCTACAATATGATGATTTGATATACACATACATTGTGAAAGGATTCCCACAATCGAGTGAATTAACACATCCATCACCACACATATTTACCTCTTTTTTTTAGTGAGAATGTTTAAGATCTACTCAGCAAATTTCACTTATGTAATGCAGTATTGTCAACTAGTCACCACTGCTATTCATTAGATCCTCAGACAATATTCATCTTTTAACTGAAATTTTGTACCCTTTTACCAACCTCTTCCCATTATGCCACCCTCAGCCCCTGGCAACCACCATTCTACTCTAAGAGTTCAACCTTTTTTTTTTTTTTTTTTTTTCAAAATTCCACATGTATGTGATACCATGCATAGCTTTCTCTGTCTGGCTTATTTTACTTTATGCTATTTATTTTCTAAGCATTTTTGGATAACATCAGTGAGCCTCAATCAAAATACAAGTCCAAACAATCATGTCTGGTATTTACTGAGTGCTTACTACGTGCACGTACTGCGCTAAAAGCCTTACCTTCTGTGCTCTCATTTAATCTGCCCTATCGTTAATCCCATTGTATAAAGGCTAAATCTATAGGCAAGAGAAGGTTCAGAAAGATCATGTTGAGCAAACCATGCATTATAATATTCCAAAAGCTAATGGAGAAGATATAACTACATGCCTAAAGAGAAACTCAAAAAGGATATTTACCAACACATTAACAGTGGTTATATCTGTGGGTTTAGAGAGGGGTGGTTTTTGTTTTCTTCATTATACCTTCGAAGGACCATTTCTTACATGTCTTTGTCCCCTTTGACACCTATTTCTGGATGGAACACATAGGAAATGGTCAGTGAATAGATACTGGTTGAGGTAGAAAATGAAGGTGTCTTCTTTCTGTGACTTGATTTGGCCCCAATTTTGGTAGCTCTGGTTTCATGAATTACTTTTTAGTTGTTGGTGCAACAGTGCTGCTATTCATCTGGAAAGTTCCCCAGATGTGCTGCCCCTCTGCACTGCCAGAGTGGAGGCCTCTAGGGGTGGAGGAGGAGCTTGTCGTGTTGTGGGACTGTATTTCTCTGGCTGCCGAAGGCTCAGCCCTGGCAGCAGGCACCGAGAGCTGATTGGCCAGCTTGTGTGTTTTCCTTCAGCCCTGCGGAGTCTGGAGTAGGCTGGGGAGTGTCTGCTTGCTTGGTGACTCAGTGTAGCTGATGTAGGTTGTCCTCTGCTTTAAAGCAGAGCAACTTGAGCAGCCTGGCTTAATGTTCCAGTTAGTGCCCAGCTCTGCTGCTCTCTGCACAAGGCCACCCAACCCTTAACAGGTAGGACCAGATGGTTTCAGATGCGCTTGCTGCCAAACTCAGAGCTACTGCGCCATTGCTTTTTTTACTTAAAGCTTTATCTGTGATGTTTTCTTAGTTATTTTATGTTTTAGGTAACTTTTAATTTTGATATAATTTCAGTCCACACAGAACAGTTGGAAGACTAGTACAAAGAACTCTTGTGTACCTTTTATCCAGATGCACCATCAGCATTTTGCCTCATTTGCTTTACTTGTGGCTGTCCTCCCTCCCTCCCTCCCTATCTCTCTCTACGTATATGTGTGTATACACACACACACACACATTTTCTGAACCATCTGACAATAGTTGCAGACTTTGTGTCCCTTTACTTTTGAAAACCTCAGTATGTATTTCCTAAAACATGGACATTCTCTTACATAATCACAGTACAATTATAAAAAACAGCAAGTTCAACATCAGTACAATGTTATTACCTAATCCACCGTCCATATTCAGATACAATCACGGTAATGGCAGAGCTTTATTTTTAAAGAAAACAGTCCTGAGGCATGTGGGTGACTCCTTGGTTATGTTGGCTCAGAGGAGAGCAGAACCAGCAGGTGTTTGGGGGAAGTGACTGCTGTGAGCGCCACGTCACCAGCTCCTCATGTCTCTACAGGACCAGAGAAGTGAGAGCAGCAAGAACTACACTCAGCAACCATGTCAGTGGAACTGGAGACCTCAGAGGGGGTGGATGAGTCAGAGAAAAAGAGCTCTGGGACCCCAGAAAAAGAAAACCACACCAGGTGAGCAATGGGGGCTGGTTGAGTTGTCAGGTGGGCCCAGAGCCCAGCTTTGTGTGCTGGAGGCACCAGGCTGTGGTCAGGGGCCTTGCTGTTGTGGCCCCCAGGATGCCTGGTTGGAACTGCAGAGACAGCATACTGCACCCTGGACTGCTCAGCACTTCCCTGTTCCTTCCCGAGGAGGCAAGAGAGGCACTGCCAGGAGTGCTGAGTGACAGTGTTGGACGGTACTTCTAGTCCTGTAGGTTAAAAGCCTCGGCGTTTTTGGCATCTGGGGTGAGAAAGGGTAATCAGAGGCAAAGCTGGCACTTTTTCTAGTGTCTTCCATCTCTCAGAATGTGGGAGCAACTCTAACTCCAGAGGTTTTTCTTACTGGCTAGGGCCTGTTCACACTAAGCCTCAAGTTACTGGGGTCTCTTCTTGATCATTCTTAGCCTCTTGTTATAGCCTTGTCATTGGCAAAGTTCTTTTTTCATATCTTGAAATAATTGCTAATAATAAATAACTCTCAGCACATGGGTGATACGAGCTAATCTCCTAAAGAAGCCAGCAGAGGCTGGGTTGTGAGAGGCCAAATTTTTCTCACTCTAGTGGATGATTGTGTGGACACACGTGAGCCCCTGCCCAGTGCTACCATTTAGGGTCATGTGTTCTTTAGAGCCTTGTCCAGTATTGGCTACTGGCATCTATTGACACAACTTTATCCTGTGTAATTTTGTTAAGCAGCACAAACCTGGGTCCTGGCTCCAACCTCCCCAGTCTTTGTTTCATTCTCATCATCCTACGTCTGGGCCCAGCCACATGTAGTCCTGAAGAGGCTAGGAGTCCAAGGTGGGAGGAAGGCAGCAGGGCTGCCTCAGGAGATCCATGGTCAGTCCTTCACAGTGGTGTGGCTTCCAGGAGACACGTTCCCAAAGGCTGGCTGTTCCCTGGAGAAGCCAGCAAACACTGGTGGTATTAGAAGTGTGTGTTTCTTCAGGCACTAGGTGGCAACAGAAGCAAAGCATCCTTCTTTTGAGTGGTTCAGAGAGACATGGATACTGTTGAAGAGTAGGCCATAGACATCCCACATGTCACCCAAGTCCTTGGGGCAGACTGGGGTTTGCCTGCGCCTTGCTCCCTGGCAAGACCCTGTGTCCATACTAGAGTTGAGTTTCTGAATGGCCCCTGCCTCCAGCTCAGTGAGTGGACACCCTGGAGCTGGGAAGGGCTTAATTCACCCATGCAGCCATGCATGCATATGCGCATGCACACACACCCTCTCTCCACAGGATGGCTGACCTCTCCGAGCTCCTGAAGGAAGGGACCAAGGAAGCACACGACCAGGCAGAAAACACCAAGTTTGTCAAGGACTTCTTGAAAGGCAACATTAAGAAGGAGCTGTTTAAGGTTTGTGCCCTAGTCACAGACGGGTCGTGTTGGAGGCCTTAGTCCTGCAAGCAAGGTCCCCCTGGAGCTGCTCCGAGGGGGAAGCTGGCCCTATCTCCACACTCCGCTCTTTCTTGATGTCAGGCTGTGGTTTTCCAGGCTTAAGTGGAATAACAAAGTGATGTAAAGGAAGCAAAAGTGTCCACATTCCAAAGAATTCACCATGTCCTTCCTTTAAGGAACAGTTTCCTGGGTATGTGAAATAATTCACTATATAAAAACAAGCATTTGGGGGTTGGAAAGGGGGCTGCTGCCCAAGCCTTTGTCTCCAGCTGCTCGAATGTGGTGGGCTCGGGAGTTGCTGGCCAGGGCTTGCAGCCCTTTCCCATGGTCTCCTCCCATCACCCTCAACAGCTGGCCACTACTGCACTTTACTTCACATACTCAGCCCTCGAGGAGGAAATGGACCGCAACAAGGACCACCCAGCCTTTGCCCCCTTGTACTTCCCCTTGGAGCTTCACCGGAAGGAGGCCCTGACCAAGGACATGGAGTATTTCTTTGGTGAGGACTGGGAGGAGCAGGTGCAGTGCTCTGAGGCTGCCCGAAAGTATGTGGAGCGGATCCACTACGTGGGGCAGAATGAGCCGGAGCTGCTGGTTGCCCACGCCTACACCCGCTACATGGGGGACCTCTCGGGGGGCCAAGTGCTAAAGAAGGTGGCCCAGCGGGCACTGAAACTCCCTAGCACGGGGGAAGGGACCCAGTTCTACCTGTTTGAGAATGTGGACAACGCGCAGCAGTTCAAGCAGTTGTATCGGGCCAGGATGAACGCATTGGACCTGAACTTGAAGACCAAAGAAAAGATCGTGGAGGAAGCCAACAAGGCCTTCGAGTACAACATGCAGGTACTGCTGGGGGCCAGGTGGGAAGGGGGCCTCCGATGACAGGAGCCAATCCACAGCTGCCTGAACGGGCATCAGTACATTAGGACAGAAGAGCTAGAGCCTGCCAAAAAGGAAGTCGAGGGACGAAATAGGCCACAGAGGGCGAGCCCAGTGGTGGCTCCGCCTTGTTTGAGACACAGCTTGTGTTTTGGGAAGGTGGGCCTCCAGCATGTAGAAGTGTTGGGGAGAATGGAGCTGTCTCCCTCCTTCTCACCATAGCATTCTGTTCTTGAGGAATAGATTTACTCCTTTTTAGTAAGGGGTGCTATGAAAAGTCCTGCTTGGTAAGTTCAGGAAGAGAACCAAGGAGAGTGAGGAGCGTAACTCAGATTACAAGTAGCCCTTAGATGGTGCTGAGCCTGCGGAGGCTGATTCTGTGCTCAGAGCCCAGACTAGACCTCAGCACCAGGAGAGTGGCCACTGGGGGAGTGAAGTGCCAGCCTGACCACAGGCCCGTCATCCCTCTGGCCTGACACATCAGCAGGCCTCTGAGAGCCACTCAAGATGGGTGCGCCCTGCCAGGGCCTCATTCTCCAATGTTGTTCTTTTTCCATCCTTTGTTGCTAAGAATACCCAGCAACTGGAAGTGGGTAAGTCTGTGTGCTTACATGGTGTTTGTGCACAGTGCTTTTGCTTTCTCCTCTCTCTGCCCTGATATTTTCAGTGTCCAGGGAAGATCCACCACAGTCAGCACTTGTGGGGTGCCAGGCAGCACAGGTACAGCCACCCCTCCCAGAGCTCGTGCTAGGGAGAAGTGCCAGGGCAGTGCGGCCACCCCCAGCATTGATTGGGCTGTTGGTTTGCACTCTTGAGCAAGCCTCACCTGCTCCAGCTCCCTCTGCATGGGGGACATTTTCTCTGAAAGCAGAGTATACAAAGTCCAGTGATGGCTGTCAATCCTCTGTTCCTGCAGATATTCAATGAACTGGACCACGCTGGCTCCTTGCTAGCCAACGAGACCCTGGAGGATGGGCTCCCTTTGCATGATGGGAAAGGAGATATGGGTAAATGCCCCTACTATGCTGCTAAACAAGACAAAGGTAGGTCTTGCGTGTCCCGAGCTCCCTCCCAGGGTGAGCATATCAGCATCCCCCACTGATGCGATGTCCCCTGTTGGTACTGCCATACAGGTGTCCTGGAGGGCAGCAGCTGTCCCTTCCAAACAGCCGTGGCTGTGCTGAGCAAGCCCAGCCTCCAGTTCATTCTGGCCGTCGGTGTGGCCCTGGCTGCTGGCCTCTTGGCCTGGTACTACATGTGAAGGACCCATCACACCATGCTCGCACCGTCCTCCTGAGTGACCACTGGCCCACCCCCACCCCCAACCGGGACTAAACTACCACCTCAGGTGACTTTTTCTTAATGCTGGGTTTGAGAAAACAAGCAACCAATAAAAGCCAGATGCTGAAGCCTCTATCTGTCAGCATCCTCTTGGCAGGTCAAATGCTGAGCTGGGTTCAAGCCCATCCTCCCTGCAGCCCCCAGGCTATAGCACCAGGAGCAGCCAGTGCAGCTCACCGGGCTGACCTGGGCCTCTGGAACCAGCTCTGCTCCCTGGGCACCCACACCTCTGACCCGAGGCTCGTTCCCGTTGTTCTTCCTTGTGTCGGCATTTAAATGGAGATTTTCCCCGTCCTGGGAGCAGAGCACTCAGCAACCCTAGGCTGCCATAGCTATGTGGGAGGGAGGGGGGCCTCTCCAGATGCTGCTGTTCTACTGTGGGGCCTCTCCCCAGGGTCAGGGGGAGCTAAGAGGGGCAGAGGCCAAGCTTGCACCCTGCCTCAGCGGCCCTGGGAGCCATGTCCTGGGTAGCCGTCCTCGTCCCTCTCAAGCAGAAACCCCTGAGAGGGCTCTGTTCAGCTGTGACCTCTCTTCTCTGCCCTGTGTAAATGCTACAGCACTCAATAAAGCGGACTCTAACAGCTGCCTCCATACTTCCTTCTCGCCGCTCCCATGCAGCCCCCTCCAGCCCTTCCTGTGTTCCCAACACTGCTGTCACCTTCCCACAGCCCTCCTCTCCAGGGCAACGTCACTCTGACTGTCTCACAAAGACCCTTCAAGTCTACGTGGTCCTGTGGTTTTCTGACTCTCAGAAGTGCTTTGGAGGTTTTCTGCTTTTTGAAATTTTTTTTTATAAATTAGGATAAAAAATTATATGCTTGTATTATATAACAATTCATTGTCTAAAATAGAAATGACTTATTTTTATTACTAGGCGTCTGTTACCTGTTTTATATATTAAGGATGTGCAAAAGTTTAATTCACAAGAGTTAAATGGTGGGGAAACTTTGTTCGACTACTGACCAAGCCTATGCACCTTCACAGTTCAGATGAGAGGTAGGGGCAGAGCAGGCCCAGAACCTAGGGGTCCAGACTGCCTGCCCCCTGTTAGCCTTGAGACCAGAAGCCTCAGCCCCAGTGGCTCTGTCTTGCTTGAGGGAGTGAGAACCTGCCTACAAGGTGGGATGACCCTGAGTTCGAGCTAGGAGCTCCAGCTGAAGGTCCCGTGAGCAGATGCCAAGGTGTGGACCTGGGTGAAACCAGCATCAGAGATAGTAAGGTGACCTTACAGCCCTGTGAAGCCAACTCATGCCCTGGCCCGGCACAGCTGGAATCCCAGTCCTCATCCACACTGGACTCTGGCTTGGTTTAATTAGGTACTTAAAGGTCAGCGTCATGCCTGGGCAGTCACTGTGGCATAAGCACTGACACCCTGAGGACTCAACCCCCTGCCCTTAGACTACCTGTAGCCCCTCCCTCTTTCCCTCACAAAAGGAAGCCAGGCAAAAGAGCAGAGGCCCAGGGCGGGGGAGTGAAAGGGCCAATTTAATGAGAAACTACAAACTGAGACCGGCCACAATTCACAGTGACAGGAGGCCATGCAGTGGCAGTGCGAGACCAGGAAAGGGGTGGCAGCAGGATACAGCAGTCTACGTGGCAAGTTCACAGACAAACCATTCAGGAAATAAAGACTATGTGGGCTCAGGCCCAGGGCAGGGCTGGTGTCCACCAGGGCACTTCCGCTACTTGTGGCTGCTCGTTCCTCATCCCCAGCCTGTCCCCAGTCCAGTGCCACAGCGCCTGCTGCTGGAGCAAGCACAGAGACAATGAGTCAGCCAGGGCGAAAGGCCCCACATTTACTGGAAAGAGGATCCATGGGGAACACACTGCAAATTTGAGTGCGCCCACAAGGAGGCCCCTCCTCTCTGCCATCTCTGATCCCAGCTAGGGCACACTAGCTACAGAGCAGAGGTCGCACCCACACACAGCAAGGACATGGTATAGACAGATGGGCTAGGCTCCTGGGCATTCTTTTTGGACCCGGCAAAAATGGGTTCACAGAGGTGTGGCCAGAAAGGGAGCTGGGCAGGGGCCAGAGGCAAGTCCCTTCTTGGCAAGACAGGGCCCAATCACTTACCCCATGACCTATAGGTGTGCTGATCTCTCTGTCTTACCCCAGGTGTCTCCTGGGCACTTGGACAATGTGTTAAGTGTTCCTAAGAGTTCTGAGGGTCAGGGTCATTCCTCCTATCATGCCTCTAGCACTTGAGAAAGAAACCCAGGCCTTATGACCCTGTCATGCTTGAGTCCACTGCCTTGCTTTCAGCCCAGCAGATCAGAAACGACTGTGGCTACAGGCACAGCTCTGCTGCAGGCCCCAAGTCCGGGGAACCAGCCACTGCTCTGGCTGCTTTTGGTCCCAGGGAGAGTCAGGACCAAACCTGTACTTCATACAGAAATGGAGGAATGAGACCCCAGCAGGGAGACCGTGCGAGGAAAGCCTTCCCAGCTTATCTTCCTGATCACAAACACCAAGCAAACCAGCAACACACAAGCTCAGTGCCATCCCCCTGCCACTCGCTGACCCTTGGCCTTAAATCCAACAGAATTTCTGCCAGAAGAGTCAGATGCTCAGGGAAGGGCAAGGCGAAGAAGACAAGACTTCCAGGGGACCGGTGGAACGGCTTCCACCCCCAAGTGTGAGCAGGGAAGTAAGCCACTGAGCGCAGGGAGTGAAGCACAGGGGACCAGACTGACAGCGGGGAGTCCTGTCCCAGCTCCGTTAGCACAGGCGCTTGTACGTGTAGATGTAGGCTTTGCAGCTGGGGCACGTGTGCGTCACATCCTTGAAGTCGTTGATGAGGCAAGGGATCAAGCAGCAGCCCAAATCACACCTGCATCAGAGACAGGGAGACACGGGAAAGCCTGAAGGGAAGGTGCTGAGGGCCCGGGCCTATTCCAGCATGGTGGTGGGTAGGTGAGGCCCCCACCCTGCGAGCACCCACACCACCTACCCCATGAAGCAGCAGAAGAAGCCCAGCACGAAGTTCATCAGACCAATCTCATAGGAGATCTTGGTGGTGATGGCCTGCTGGCAGTGGGGACACACCGTCTGCACAGGTGCGCCCTCAAAGATCTCTCCCTGCAGCACTGTCACCGTGGTGGCAGCCCCTGAAGGGACCAGGACTGTGGCTGTGTGGCCCCCAGGGCCAGGGTAGGGCCCTGGTGGGTAGGGCCCTGGTGGGTAGTAGCCCATGGGTGGGTGGGGGCCTGGAGGAGGGTAAAAACCTGGAACGGCACAGAAGACGGAGCAAAGACAGGTCACTTGCTTGCCATCTGCCCCATGTGAGAGGTGAGCACAAACCCCTAAGGCCCCCAGCACCCAGGATGCAGGGTGAGGCCTCAGGGATGAGGACCTGGGCCAAGTGATCATCCACATTCTCTCAGCCCTTCCTGGTCCCAGCCTCATGGGGACCAAGACAGAGAGGCTACTTGGCCCAGCCAGACATGGCAGAGAGCTGACAACAAGGCCTGATCTCTCCTCTCCTTAGTCTCAGCTTGATGCGCTTGCTCCCTTGACTCTGACAGGCAGGGCTACCACAGGAGGGAAAGCCTTACCGCTCACCAGTCCCTCTCAGACCCACAAGACTCTCCTCCCTACCAGCATCAGGTCCTGCACTGGAGTGCCACAGACCAGCCCACCTAGCCCGGGGCTGCCTGTGCAAGAGCCCTGGGCCCCTCTCTGGCCTGTGTAACTCCTGGCAAGGAGAGGCTCCTGAAGCACCCGCCACTGCCAGAGGGGCCTTCCCAGGAGCCAGCCTTCCTCCAGGCAGGGTCTGGGGCTGCTCTGGCTCACCCACAGCCCCTGCACAACAGTGTCTTCTTCTAGGACACCTTAACATGCCCACAATCAGCCCCTCTGCCCCTACAGTAAATAACCGTGCAGACGGGCTACCCGCCAGCAACAAAGGCTGGACAGCAGCCCAGGTGATGCACTGGGTGCTGGGCTCAGCAGCCGTCTGCGCTCCCCTCAGATCTCTTCCCAACTTACCTGGAGGCATGTAGGTGCCATCTGCATTCACATGTGGGGGGATGAAGCCAGGTTGAGGCATTGGGTGACCCGGAGGCTCATAGGGTGGGGGACCAATGTCTGCAGGGGGCAGCGACATGCCCGGTGGGGGCTGCATCACAGCTGGGGAGGTGCGGCCTGGACAGAGAGGTAGGGAGAGGAAGCTCAGAGGGCCCCAGCTGCCCTGTGGGTGGGAGGGCTGTTCCAGGCACTGGCTTCTAGCAGCTGGGACAGTCAAGGGATGGGACCACTAGGAGCAGTGAACCCTACCTGGGGTGGTCGGGGCTCCACTTTTCTCCTCCAGAAGGGGGGCTGTGGGGCCTCCAGGATAAGGAGGGGGTGGCTCGTTCGACATCTTCACCACTTTTCCTGGACCTGAAGGGAATACCCAAACGTGAACTAAGCTCCCAGCCCCGCTACTAGGCAGTTGGGCATTGGTCTGTGTTGAGAGGTTGTTGCACAAGGTGTTGACAGTCCTCAGAGCTGCCTCTGCTGAGCCCAAGCACATAGGGCCTACTGTGGCTCTTGCCGCAGGTATCCCCTGCCCTCGGGCTCATGTCACCTTTTACTCTCCTCCACGTAAATCTCCACGCTCTGGACGGAGCAGGGCTGATGGGCTGGGACCAGTTCCTTTGGGAGAGCGGTCACCAGGCTCCCTCTAGGCCCTGGAGATGTCCCACCACTGCTGGGAGTACTCCAGCCCAGAGCCACCATCCTCCACACCTCTCAAGAAGCTACCAACCTGTGGTTACCTGCACTTCCTGTATGAAAGCCAGAGGGTGAGGGCAGCCCTGCGAGGACAGAACCTGGGAAGGTGAGCCCCCCACCGGTAGCTTGGGAACCTCATCTTAGGCTCCCCACAGGGCAGCTTGGCCACTGGTCCTCTCCTACTTAGGCAGCGCCAAGGCACTGTGGTGGGCTTGCGGGAGGGGATCTGGGAGACTTTTTACCTCAATCCCAGGTCCTCAGGAGGTAGGCAGGTGAGGCTCCTTGCAGTGCTGGTCTGGACAGTCACTCAGGGCTCTGGGGAGCTATTTGAGGGGGAGAACAACAGGCAGTGCCCTCAGCACCAGGGAAGAGCTGGCCCTGGGCACCTGGCCCCAACGCAGCCACGCTCCCGCCACCGCCCAACACAGCACCATCCTGCATCTCTACCCAGTCAGCTCCCCCTTCCCCTTCTCACAGCTGCTGTCTCCTGGTAGCTCCATGGTGGCAACTAAAGCCAGCTGGGCACCTCTTTGCTTTTGTTGAGGAGTGGATGGTGTGGGAAGGAAGAAGATGGTGTCTGTCAAGTGAAACACTTCCTCATTTCTTTCACAGGGTTCACTGAGCGCCTGCTGCTGGGCAATGGGTGAGAAGCAGGGCAACCAGGCGACGTTCCTGCCCCTGGGTCTGTGTTCTATCCCCATTAGTAAGGCGCTTCCTTTCACTCTATTCAGCATCATAAAAGGCTAAAAATTAGTAGCATTTTCCAGTGGGACTCTTTTTTTTTTTAACTGAAATAAAATAATATGAACTAGAAAAAGAATCTAAACAGTGCAAAAAGATACACAGTAAAAGCAACTCTCCTAGTGTAGCTCCCTCCTAGAGCCCCCCAGTGTTAAGTTCAGAACTGCCTGGGGTCCGTAAGTTTAAATATTTAACAAATCAGGAAGGGGCAGAGGGACCAAATCGAGTCAACAAAAGACTAAAAAGATAAATTTGATTTTATCAAAACTAAAAACTTGTACTTCAGGGGCCAGCCTGGTGATGTAGCGGTTAAGTTTGCGCGCTCTGCTTTGGCAGCCTGGGGTTCGCCAGTCTGGATCCCGGGCGTGGACCTACACACCACTCATCAAGTCATGCTGTGGCAGGCGTCCCACATATAAAATAGAGAAAGATAGGACACAGATGTTCACTCAGGGCTAATCTTCCTCAAAAAAAAAGACTTGTACTTAAAAGGACACCATCAAGAAAATGGAAAGACAACCTACAGAATGGAAGAAAATTTTTACAAATCATGTATCTGCTAAGGGACTTCTATTTAGAATATATAAAGGGGGCTGGCCCAGTGGCATAGTGGTTAAGTTCTCATGCTGCTGCTGTGGCCCAGGGTTTGCAGGTTTGGATCCCAGGTGCAGACGTACACTGCTCATCAAACCCTGGTGGCAACCCACATACAAAATAGAGGAAGATTGGCGCAGACGTTAGCTCAGTGATGATCTTCCTCAAGCAAAAAAGAGGGAGATTGGCAACAGGTGTTAGCTCAGGACCAATCTTCCTCACCAAAAGAAAATATTTTTATAGATATATTTTTATATACATATATTTAAAATATATATATATAAAGAACTCTTCTAACTCATAAATAAAAAGACAACCCAGTTAAAAGATGGGCAAAGGATCTGAATAGACACTTCTTCAAAGATAAACACATGCCCAATAAGCACATGAAAAGAGGCTGAATATCGTTAGCCAAAAGGGAAATGTAAATCAAAACCCAAACGAGGTGCCATTTCATGGCCACTAGGATGGCTAGCATGAAAGACGGTAACAAGTATGTAGAGAAACGGGAACCCTCACACATGGCTGTGGGGGGATGTTAAATGGTGCCCCAGTAATTCTGCTCCTAGCTATGTACCCAAGAGAACTGAAAACATGTCCCCATAAAAACTTGTAGAAGAATGTTCATAGCATTATTCATAATAGCCAAAAGGTGTAAACAACTCAAGTGTCTTTTTCTTTTTTTTTTAAGATTTTTTATTTTTCCTTTTTCTCCCCAAAGCCCCCAGGTACACAGTTGTATATTTTTAGTTGTTGGTCCTAGTTGTGGCATGTGGGACGCTGCGTCAGCATGGCTTGATGAGTGGTGCGACACCCAGGATCTGAACTGGCAAAACCCTGGGCAGCCAAAGTGGAGTACACAAACTTAACCACTCGGCCACCGGGCAGGCCCCTCAAGTGTCTTATCAACTGATAAATGGATAAACAAACCGTGTACTTAGCCATACAGTGGAATATTATTTGGCCATGAAAAGGAATGACGTACTGACACATGCTACAACCTGAAGTGAACCTTGAAAACATTATGCTCAGTGAAAGAAGCCAGACACAAAGACATGTTGTGTGATTCTTCATATGAAAAGTCCAGAACAGGCAAATCTATAGAGACAGAAAACAGATTAGTGGATGCCAGGGGCTGGGGGCTGGGCAGACAAAGAATCGTGAGTATGGAGTTTTCTTCTGTGGTGATGAAAATGTTCCAAAACTAATAATGGTTGCACAATTTTGTGAATATACTAAAACCCACTAAATTGCACACTTTACATGGGGAAATCATATGGTATGTGGATTATAATCAATAAAACTCATCTTGGGGCTGGCCCGATGGCGCAGTGGTTAAGTGCACATGTTCCACTTCAGTAGCCCGGGTTTCGCCAGTTTGGATCCCGGGTGTGGACATGGCACTGCTTGGCAAGCCATGCTGTGGTAGGTGTCCCACATATAAAGTAGAGGAAGATGGGCATGGATGTTACCTCAGGGCCAGTCTTCCTCAGCAAAAAAGAGGAGGATTGGCAGCAGATGTTAGCTCAGGGCTAATCTTCCTCAAAAAAACCCCAAAAAAATTAAAAAAAAAAAAAAACCCTCATTTTAAAAACTGAAGGAAAACAAAATTGCCCAATCTCATCACCCTAATGCAGCCCGTCTCTGCATGTCCCTGCCAGTCTGTATGCGTAGGCACTTGCATTTTTATATCATAATTGCTGCTGTGACAAATGGTTTTAAATTCTTTTAACATAATCCTCATCTTGCAAGACCCCATGACCATCAATTTTAATATTCCAAACGGACCCATCACCATTCACTTGACCAAGAAGCACTTAGAATGCTACTTGTTACTTTCATAAAAAACCGGGAACACCTTTTGCTAATGCTCTTTCCCTTTCTTGGATTATGTCCTTGGGCTAAACTTGCCCAAGTGAGATTATTATATTAATTATTATATTATTATAATCTCAGAAGTAAGATTATTAGGTCAAAGAGTATGGATATTTTATGCCTTTAGTGAAGGATGCTGCCAATTTACAGTGCAAATTTTGGATACTACTATTATCACTAATTTGTAATGTTAAAATGACACATGGTTACTTTTATTTCTTTGATCACTATGAGGCAGAACATCTTCCCAAGTGTTTATAAATTATATGCCCACTCTTGTGAGTTGCTACCTATAATAATCCTTTGAAGACATAGCAGCCAATAAAAGACTTGTCCGAGGTCACGTGGCATATTAGAGGCAGACCTGAGTCTAGAATCCTGGCATGACTCTCCTGCCCCCAACCCCTCACCTGCAGGTGAATTCCAACAGCACAAGGTCAAGAACAGGGAGCACCATAGCCACTGGACGATGTCACAGAAGTCCCCCCCCCCCCAGGTGGGACTGGCTATGTGCACTGGCCCTCAGGGCCGATCTCAGGCCACTGCCAGCCCACCAGGTGCCCTTCTAATGGGAGAAAAAGGCAGCCTTCCACAAGAGGCTTCACTTGAGTCTCTGGAAAACTCTGTAATATGCTGAGTGTTAGAACGTGGGCCGGCACCTGCCACAAACTCCCATCCCTTGCCCACCTGGGATGCCTCTGGAGTGGCACTGCTGTCCACCTCCAAGCCCTGGCTCACCAGGGAACCAGCCAGGCCTTGGGACACTCTGAGCAGGCCAGGAAGAAAAGCTGCCTTGTGCTTGGTGAGTCGCTTGAGCACCTTCAGGTTCTAAAAGGAACTAGCTTGGGTCTCCGGGGCCCTCCATGTCCAGGGAGTGTGCACGCACATGCGCCACCTCTGAGGATGCAGGTGTGGCCTGCCTTTTCATCAAAATCACTAGATCTAATTCCGTTGTCTCCTAGAGCATGATAATTCTACTTTTCAAATTCCACCATCATAATGACGGTACAAGCCCTGCACACAGGGCAGAGGCCTCCCCTTGGTGTCTACCCAACTCTAAGCTGTCTTCTGTGCCTAGAGCGGGCACTGCCGCAGACCACATGGACACCCAGAACATGCACAGGACACTTCCACTCCAGGTGCTGACTGCACCACCACCTGCTCCTGCCCCTTCCTTTGGGCCATGGGGCCCTGCTGCTCCTCTCTCTGTCTCCTCCCCTCCCCTCTGCACCTAGCACCTATCCATCAATATGAAGGAGGCAGGTTTCTGAAAAATGGCTTGTGAAGATTTTTGGAATTCAAACGCCAGGTCCCCCCAGCACCTCCCAATATAAAACCAAATATGCATTCCCACAAAACTATGTTATTTGAGGTGTGATAAAAACTCCAAGAATGCAATAATCATTTGAAAAAGTCGCATGTCCAAAAGCCAAACAGTTTTCCAGTAAAAATGCACACTGCTCAAATTAGGCTACAAATGCAAATGTGGAATCTGAGATCACAGCTCCAGCAACTTGGCTGTTGGGCAGGAGCCAGAGTGGCAGCTACAAGAGGCTAAGGATGGGGCCGAAAGACCCATGGGTTTGCAGTTCCCAACAGAGGAGAGGGAGGCCTGGGGTCCTGGGAGTTCAATAAAGTCAATTTGCAGCCCTGGAAACCCAAGACAGGCCTGTCAGCCTCCTGTTTAGATTTTGTAGCTCTGAATTGTGAATAAATAGGGAATTGTATGAAAGCTTCCTAAGTTTATCATAAACCAAACAGGAGCTCCTCTGGGGACCCAGAGACTTTACACAGTGCACCCCTTTACACTCTGGATTTTGTGGATGCGGAAGTATTACCTAGTAAAATAATAATAAAATACAGATAAATTCTCTGAGAACAGAGTTAGAGATGCAGCTGACAGCTCAGCAGCTGGCCAGCCAACAAGGTGCCGAGCTGCAGCGGCACAGGTGTGAGGGCACAAAAACAGGGCACCCAGGGCCTCAGAGCTCAGAATCCACTCTGCCACAGGTTTCATGAGCGCCTCGCTCATCCCAACTCATCCAAGAGCGTTGGGGAGGAGATGTTCTCAGTGACCCAAAGCACATTAAATGAGAATTAAAATTCTTAAATGAAGTCATGTAACAGCGTAACAGTGCTGGCACACCTGTCAGAGGTTCAATGACGTGTAGCAACAGTCACCCCCAACACAGGCCACGAGGGCAGGTGGTACATTTTAGGAACATACTTCTCTTCCAAACTTTGCGGGGTTGCAGAGGTCCCAGAGACATTACTGAATCAGGACCTAGAGAAGTAGTAATCTTGACACCATCGTGAGAATCAGGTAACATTCCCTGGGTGCTTGCTGTGGGGGCTACACTGTGCTGTGTCCTGAACAAGTATGAACTCAGTCATCAGACCAGCGGACAGGGCAGCCCTTTGAGCACCTCCATTTTAGAGAAAGTAAACACGGCTCAGTTGCACACCTGGGTCCTACGGCCTTACAGTCACAGTTTTAAGTGTTTTCAAGGACTTCCTCTGAGCCTTAAATTCCTGTTTACCTGTTTTCAGGCACAGTTTTAGGAACGCTGGGGAATTTCCACTTAGCTCTGGATAAAAGGGATGTGCCGCCGTCCCAGCCTCGACAGCTCTTACTTTAGAAGCCACGGGCTCTTGGGGAGGCAGAGCTGCTTTCCAGAAGCTGGAAGTCTGGCCTGGAACTAAGTAGTATCCAGAAATGTGTGCAGGGCGGAAGCTGGTTTACTGGATGGCATCCTGTCACAGAGGCCTCAAGGGTCAAACTGACAAAGGAGATCAAAGTCCCCTCAACTGCATTTTCAAGTGGAGGACTGTCCTGG